GCGACAGGCCACGACATTTTTTGCTCTTTCATTATAAACTTTCACTTGTTTGTCGCCATTAATTATGTTAATTAATTTGAATTCCAAGTATTTTTTTCCACTCTACACACCACGTGATGGCTTAAGAACACTAGACATTATTTTTTTTCTTCTTTTTTTAATAGATCGCCTGCTCACCCACCGCCTACAGTTCCGGTTGCCTGCAAACCACTTTCGTTTTACTCGCTCGGAAGCTGTACGACTTATCGCTCAGCGCCAATGTCATCGCCCCTACCTAACGTCTACGCACGGCGTACATACATACATAAATCACTTTACTCGCACTGCAATGCACATTTCTTAGTATCGACTGAGGACCCCTGGCCGATTAAGGGTACTGCGACCCGGCCCACTCCGTTCTAAAGTAACCGTAAGACAAGACTGAAAGAGCTTAGCGCGTCGTTTGATCGGCTAAGCGGCATAGCAATCCGTTTGTTATTATCGTACAAGCCAATAAAAAAGCCTTTTCATATCTATCAAAGTGTAATCGTATCAGCGTGCGGGTGGTTGTGCGTGCGTGTGTAAATGTTCATAAATATAAATAGTTTCCAAGATGATAACAACGCTTGCATTTTTACCGATGTGTTGTAAGCTGCGGCGATGGCGGTTGGGACAAGATTTCGTTCTCTTGGCTGTCTACGCTGCTTCAACTAATTTCTTTTTATTTTATTTTTTTGATGTACATATGTTCGTATGCATGCATGTGCATATGTATGAAGATGTCCCAAAGTGCCATCGTTGAATTGTTATCATTTGATTACCCCAAAAGTCGTCTAATCTGCCGTCAGCCGGCTGCTTGCCGTGTTCAACATTCAAATTAGCTTGCATAGTGTATGTTGGAACACTTCAAATACTCGTATGTTCGTACTCGCCTTTACACTCCGCTTCCATTGAATAAACACACTTTTCTTTCAGAAGAAAAAAAAACAGAAGTAACCTCCATTGGTCAATGAAAATGAGTACTTGTTTTTATTAAAACCGTATCTGGATTCACTAACGCCATCTTTACAACTACGCTTTTCCAATGAAAATACTCCAGCTTTTTCGCTTTGCATCCATTGCGCTCGGTCGACGGTTAACCGCTGTCAAAATTAAAACTCACTCATTCCATATGGTCCATAATTGCGGCGGCAGCGTTTTTACCACCGACGTTTTTCGGTAGATTTAAATTTATTTATATTTTTACCGCCCAGCGGGGATGGCACAAGGTTGATTGTAGTAATTTTTATTATTTTCACAAGTTTACTAATCTTTTAATCTTTTTTTTTCTTCCAGAAAATCTACATACATGCACCTACCGAAACAATATTTAATTTCAATGAAAATTTTCAAATCAAAATGACAATTGACGGAAGCCTTCATGTGCCGCAATTGTGTTTACTCTGACGGATTTTACTGCGGCACTGTTCAGCTGTTCACTTACCGCCAACCGCTTTACCGTCGTCCGCTGTAATTCTGAATAGAACTTAAATGTTCCAGTGAAAAGGTACAAAAGAACGCGAAGCATTTTCAAAAGATTTGTGATCTAGTTATGGTCACTGAACTCATTCTTTGGTACAATTTATGGAAGAAACAGAAAAAGAACTTGTCCGAAGAAGATTTGAAGGATGCTGACGCGATAAATAGGTGTATTTCCATTTTGAGCGCTTTTCCATGCACAACAGCGACTGTATAGCGATCGTTTAGTAGACTTCGTACAGTAAAAACCGGGCTGAGAAGCAAAACAGGAGAAGAGAGGCTTTCTGGATTATGACTCATGAGCGTCCATAGAAAACTCGTTACCGAAAACCGCTCTCAAGTCAAGTCTTTTAGGGCGATACCTAACATAAAACTATCTTGGAAGCTAAATGTTGAGGATGGGTTAAAAAATGACACAGTGGGCCCTAGGGAAAGGATAGAGCGTAATGTATTGGTTATATCAGAGCTTCCTAAAAAAATCACCGGGGGTCCGTTAAATAAATTTTGGTATGAATAAGCACGGAGGTAGGCAATCGGTTTAAGTTGCACAAATAAGAAAAGTTCTATAAACAGCATGACCGAGACTACACAATACATTCCAGCAGAATTTACAGAGTAGAGGTCCAATAAATATCTTCACAGATGAATCGAAGCTGGATAGCAGAGTTGGAGGTGGTGTATTCTGTCAGAAATTCACCGTAAATCTAAAGCAAAGGTTGCCAGATTTTCGCCACGCTTTTCAGGCAGAGGTGTCCGCTATAAAAAAGGCAACCGATTGGTAAATATCTAATCTGACGTCATTTCTCCGCGCAGGGAGAGCATAAATATGAGTTCCTTTGGTAAATTGTGGACTCAAGTGTGAGTTATTAAGAACTATTTTTTTATGTCCGCCATTTTTATGGTGACACGGATTTGAGTGTTCCAAATTTCAGTCACTTTGCTGCTAAGATCCGGCAGAATTTGAGCAACGGCCCGGGCTATGTTAGCTTTAAATGTATTGGTCGATTGCGGCTTTTTTT